GGACAATTAAACCAAATCGATTTAAAAATTGTTCTGGGCTTTTTCAACTTTAAAACCTCCAAAGTTAACATACATTTCTAACACATACAGGAAGATTGCAGATTTCAAAAACATATTTTTAAATCTTCAGTGCAGACAATATAATGTGAGACCCAAATAAGTTACAAGAACAATGGCCAAAAAATAGGCCTAAAACATCACCAATCACAGTTATCAATGCGGTTAATAAATGTATGAACTAATAGTTCATTATTATGTTGATAGACGTTATCATTAGGATATTAAAATACTGAAGGGAAAAGCAATGAGCTGGTGTCTGACATGTGGTGTTAGCAGATAGGCTATTTAAACTTTCAGTGAAATAAACATTTCATGTGAACAGATCCTTTCATGGCTTTATGCAAAATGATAACACATCTATAATTCAACACACCTTACTGAGGGAAAAGTAAACAAAAATGGGTATGATTTAAGAAATGACTGGAAATAAAATTTTATTTATGATAAATAGCCTATTAATAGACTATACAGCTGCCAAATATGTTGCATGATTAGCGAAGATGTCCTTTTTGCCCCGTTTTACAGCCTACTTCTAGACTTACAGCAAAGCAAACCTCATCTTCTTTCGAAAAAATTAGACGTCAAATAAAAAAGTAAAGTATGACATCTGTGAAACAGGCTATATCGATATAATCGATCATATTTAAATGATGATGCTGTCTATCCTGAGAAGGCAAATACCTTTATGGGTGTTTTAAAATGTGTATCACATGTGCAGCTGTGCATAAAAAAAATGAAACCACGTCAGAATAATATTTAGAGAAAAAGAACACGCGATATAAAGACACATACAAAAATATATTTAGCATATAGCCTATTCAATATGAAACATATCAAACAAGCTCAAATGATGTAATTTATTTAGAATTTTATACGACAGTAAAAGTCTTTTAATGTATCGTCGTTATCTTATGATGAGCATTAGGCCTAAACCAATATTTTTTAACGCTGATATTTATGAAACAACCCGTAGGCTACATTAAAATGAGTAACGGGTCTAAAAAACTAAATAGCCTACATCTAAATAGTCTACAAAAAGGAAACCAGTTAAATAACGCACATTTCTAACAAAATATTTTCTTTAACTACATTTTCTAATGTTTTAAATTCCGCGTTTGGCTAAGATGGAGCATTTTCTGATGAAAAGCTTTATACCAATCGATCAGAATGCGGATATATCGATCAGCGACCAGAGCCATAGATCACACGCTCTCTTTCGCCCAGCATTGTCAAATACACAGGTCTCTAAATACACTGAGAATCCTGTTCCACCTGCAGAGAAAGGCTCAATCTGAGAAAAAAAAGTATTATTTTAATAGCCATAGAGATTTGGAGTTAAATAAGCAAAAACGGTTATAAAGACAGGAGAATGTATTTAATGTTCATTTAGAAAGAAAAAAAATCACTTTATTTTATGGTGTCTTTGTTACAGTGCAATTACACATCTAAGTACTAAGTAATAATAATTAACGATGTAGGCTACTTACTACTATAGGTTTTGTGGTTAAGGTCTGTGTATAATTACACGCAATAGTGTAACGAGTAAGGACACTGTATAAAGGGTTAGTCATTTAACTAAAACATCTTTGTTTTGTAGAACCTATTTTATTTGGAAAAAATATGAATTTATTCGATGTGTTCAACTTACGATATGTCGCGTGTCGAGTGTCCTGTATAAGGAATAGCGTGCACGTGTTTCAATAATTTCTCCGAAGCGCATAAATTATTAATATAGGCTAAACAACTTTCTAAGAAAATTCCAAATAACTTGTTTATAGTTTAAGTTAAAATGACCGTGTAACCAGATATTTTGTCAGAAACAATCCAATATTACTTATGCTCATGTTTTAGTTAAAGCATAACGTTGATGTGTTTGCTTAATGTTATATACATTTTTGTGAACAATAAGTTATGGCAACATATGTTTTACATTGCTTTAACTCATCAAAATAACTTAAGCAATTTTAACTTTTTTTTTTTTAATAAGTTATACAAGTTTCAACTTTTTTTAAAAATTCAGTTTAATGCAATTTAAGTTGAAATGACTTAACCATCCGAATTGGCTGACTTAAAATTTTTAGGCAGCAACTTTTGTTTTACAGTGTATAATATCAAAACATGGGTGGAATATTTTAAGATGTTACAGAGCCAAATCTTGAAGACTTCATTGTCTGAAGAGAAAATAAATTTCAACGCCTCGCCTAACTCTGCTGCAATGGTCAGTTCAACAGGACTGCTTGACTTCTGCCAATAAACCGATTCAAGTAAATTTACTTTAGGGTGTGATCGATCAGCCAAGTGATACCACTAATGCAGTCAAGCATATTTGTGTCTATCTTTGTCACACTATGTGATAGAAACAAATCAGACCCACAGAAAGAATATCTGGACCTTTAAAGCACACTATATAAAGCATTCATTTAATCAGCTTTGCATATTCGAATGACAGGTATAGGCTATGCAACGAAAATACTTTATGTTATTAAATATATAATAATACATGAAAAGGAAAACACAACTGAAATTCAAATGAGTTTGAGCTCAGAAAAAAAAGTTGAGTTCACTTATTCATAAAAAAAGTTAAACGGATTTGTTTGAAGTTAAGCGAAATAAAATAAATTGTTAAATTACTTAACTGTTTATTTTGCTCTTTGAATATTTCAGGGTAATTAGTTTGCACACACATATTGACAAATACTGATTATCGGAAGGCCTAATTGCACATTTAAAATGAAATCACAGTCATCTGTCATAACGACTGGGACCACTAATTTTTAAAGTATTTTTTAAAACTAACAAACTAATTTTCAAGAAATTTTTGACAACATTTTCTATCTTAAATTTAATGTGTAAATAACTATGATATTATGACAAACTATGATATTATGAATAACTATGTAGGCCTATGATATTAAATATAATGCATTACAATGCAACCGGTGGACACACTTCTTGTTTGTAGACTTACACCCCCTTAGAAATGCAAAATAAAATATTGAGCATCTATGGCTTTCATAGTCTCTATTTGGATATCGACAGCTTTAATATTTCATATGAGAGCCACAGGGTACGTCTAGCTCATTTGAATATTCGAGCGAAAATTAAATCAGGGTCTGCTCTCTAATAATGTATGCAGCAAGTACAATGTTGCACTATAAGCTCCAAGACATTATTCAGAGAATCAAAACACTATATTAGAGAATAGTAGAGCTACAAAACTTTACCCCCTAAAGAATTCAAATTCTGTTGGGTGGATTAAATATGCAAAAGAAACAACCTCTTAACCCACACAGGCCCACACAAATAATTAGTAGGCCTAAGTATTAAAATATATCATTTCAAAACAAAGGCGAATGTATTTGTTGCAGCATTTAGTCAAAGCAATTTTACAATTTAAGTAGGCCACTTCCTAAAATCTTTCCAAAATACAAGAAATATTCATAGAATTACACCGAAAAAGTGAATCATAATTATCATATAAACTATCAAAGTATGTACACTGTAACAACATTAATCCTTAAAACAATTGACATTCTCTGAAAAAAAACCTGATTATTTGTCACCCTTATCAAAAATAAAATAAAATAAAAAGTAGTTAAGGCTGCAATACACGATATGTATATACAGTTTGTACACACACACACACACACACACACACACACACACACACATATATATATATAAACGTATATATATATATATATATAAAGTTTATATATATATAAACTACGATCTTCTCACCCGCAAACGCATCAGCTGTTGTGCATCTCTACATTAAACCGCTTTCAATTATCCTGTCATAGCCGAGCATGATTTTGTAAATAGCAAGGAACAAATCAATGCAATAATCAATTGTGGTTGTGTCCAGATATGTGAACCAGAAATATCTGAACCATTTTTTGCCGTGCATACGGCCGCCTATAGACTCATAACATTATCACTAACCCATTCAGTTCATTTAGGCTATGCTTGCAATTAATATACCCTACATTAATAGACTAAAATAAACATTGGAATTAATTAAGGCTTTAGTTGCACATAGTCAAATAACAAACAGTAATTTAACTTAAAAATATAAGCCTACGTACAACCACACTTTATGATAGCCTATATGAGATTGAGAATAGAAACAGTGAAAGGACCGTGAATTCTGCAAAGCTGCAGCAAAGATTTGTGAGCGGCCTAATTTATTTTCAATAACACTGATTGCAAGGATCAATAAAGAAACAGCAATCCCAACGGACAAGGATGTTTTCCTAATATCATAGTCCTATTCATCATTATAAAATCGGAATTTCCTATCTGAACATTTGCAGTGAAGCTAAATGGTGAAGTTAAGCTTCAAACTAAACGTTGGTTTATTTTTCTTGTTGTGTTGTTGACTATTTTGTGGCACGTCCAGCGATTAAGATCCAAGGAAATTCGACCAAATTCGATTTTGGTTGGCTATATAAATATGTCCATGTTTTTCTTCCGTTTTTGTTTAATGACCGCAAATAAACGATGGGCCTATGATAGACCATGACGATGGGAATTCACCCTTAGCAAGAGAAAACATATATATTACATTTATTACCCATCCCATTCTGAACGATCAATTTATTGATTAGCGACTGAGGCATTAATAATAGGAGTGAACCGGAAGTGATCATCTGGAGAGAAAATAAAACTGTAGGCCTATGCATTGTCATATTTATTAGTAAAATGTTAGCAATAGGAACTATTATTTTTAAAATTTAAAAAGGTAAAATATAAAGGGTTTACCGCTTTTTACTAAGACATTCCGTTTTTGTAGGACCCTATATGTATAAATTGCTTATACTAGCAATTCAGTGTTGTCATGTCAAAAGACATAGCTATAGATGCTCATGTCTCTGGTGAATTACAAATGGCAGGCCTGTAAGTAAATGGAACAACAAAGTAAACAAATGAATGTGACATCATACAAAACAGAGAAATAGGCTCCCTTCAGCCTATAATGAAACTGTTTATTGTGCCTAAAAAAGTGAACATTGAGTGAACAACACATCCTTTCTCTTTTAATGTATTTTTTTTTCTTCTGATGTTCAAAGCGTGGCGTTAATTATATCACGTAAGTTTCTGTCACAACATAGTCTCACAACTGCAAATAGCCCATTTGGTTGATAATGACGTTTCTTTAAACTTTCAAGCGTTTAACACAAATATGATTAACCATGTGATCTTGTGTCGTTCAAAAGGAATTTGACTATCTTATCTACTTAGGGTTTGGGAAATCCATTAATATTTAACCATTAAGATGTCGCGTACTGGCGCCAAGTTAAGCAACTTTATCAGGAGAAACCATGGATCGTGTCCATAAGGAATCCCCAATAATTCACAACAACACTGCTGGTGTCAAAGTGTGCAGATGTAAAAAAAAAACAAAAAAACTCGATTTCGGTCTCTTAAAGACAGTGGAGGGACGAATTGTGAGAGTAGGCGAAGTGAATCTCTACAGTCTCTACAGTATTGATGACGTCAGCCCTAGTCTGAAAATTGTGTGAGCGTACACCATTTAAAAGGCTTTTGCATCATGATTAACTTTCACAATGATATTTTTACTCTCTAGTTCTTTAGAAAGCACATAGCCTATAGCTATAGCTTATTGGTGATTCAAACTACCGGTAATCAGAAACCAGGCTGAACAACTTGAATAAACATTAAATTAACTCAAGATCCCCACATAACAATAATTGGTTCTGGAAAATAAAAAAAAGATTTTTGCTGAATCTAAGAATCACCGCAGAACCTTTATTGTGTGGTTTGCGCGCGCCCGTGCACTCACATCTTAATATATTGCGCGGTCACGAGACAGACACTCTCACTCGGTCAGCTTCGACTGTCAGTAGTAAGACGCGCGCCACGGCGATAGATACAAGCGTTTAGACACCAGGCGTACGCACATGTGCGTGGTGAAATGCTGGATTGACTAACACTGAAGATCTCGGGGATCAATGGCGCGCGGCTTTGAGATCGTTTAAAATTTATTGGAAGGGAGAGTGTGAGAGAGAAAGGAAAGAGAGAGAGAGGGAAAACAGTGTCTTTCAACAATGGAACTTACAATGGAAAACATTGGGAATCTGCACGGCGTGTCACACTCCCATCAAACGGGGGACTTGATGAACTCTCCTCACGCGCGACAGTCAACGACCCATAGGAACTTGGTGTCATCGCACGGCAGGTCAGCGATGGTGTCCAGCATGGCCTCGATACTGGACGGTGCCGGGGAGTATCGCACGGACCATTCGCTGTCCGGTCCTCTCCATCCAGCAATGACCATGTCGTGCGATTCGAGCATGAGTCTGAGCAGCACTTACACCACCCTGACGCCGCTGCAGCACCATTTGCCTCCCATATCCAACGTCTCAGAGAAATTTCACCATCACCCGCACCCTCACGCTCATCACCATCCCGCGCACCAGCGTCTCACCGCTGGAAATGTCAGCGGCAGCTTCACGCTGATGCGGGATGACCGGGGCCTCGCGTCCATGAGCAACCTATACGGTCACTACTCCAAAGACTTGTCCGGGATGGGACAACCTTTATCGCCTCTTTCCAATGGCCTTGGGTCTTTGCACAACTCCCAACAGACTCTGAGCGCGTACGGTCCGAGTGCTCACCTGGGGAACGACAAGATGATTTCCACGGGAGGCTTTGAGTCTCACCCTGCGATGCTCGGCCGGGGCGAGGAGCATCTGGCTAGGGGTTTGAACGGGCATGGGGCAAGCATCATGTCTTCTCTCAACGGCATCAACCACCACCATCACCACCACCACAGTCACACGCACTCTCAGGCGAACGGGTCTGTGCTCTCGGAGCGGGATAGGCAGGCAGCAGGTGCCGGCGGACAGGGTGGGTCAGGGCAGGTGGAGGAGATCAACACCAAGGAGGTGGCTCAGCGAATAACGGCGGAGTTAAAGAGGTACAGCATTCCACAGGCCATCTTTGCCCAGAGGATCTTGTGTCGCTCTCAAGGAACTCTGTCGGACCTCCTGAGAAATCCCAAACCCTGGAGTAAACTCAAGTCAGGTCGGGAGACTTTCAGACGGATGTGGAAGTGGCTGCAGGAACCTGAGTTCCAGCGCATGTCAGCCCTTAGGCTTGCAGGTGAGTAAAGGTCACTTAAGTTTCCTCGTGCAGAAAAAAAAAAAGGGAAATCAAAACAGTCACACAAAATCTATATCTATGTTACCTTTATTCAAGATAATGCAAGGAAATAATGTAATCAATATATCGTGCATGGACCTAATATTCGTTGTTCTTATTATTTGTGCTTGGTTTCTCACGGTTCATCTGAAGGCATCTGTATTCATAAAGATAAAAATACAGACGATGAATAAAACATCCAACAAAAGCAGTGTATCCTTAAATGAACAAAGTATTTCAGAGGCATCTAAAATGATTCAATTTAATACATTTGCTTATAACCAGAGCAAATATAGAAACATAAACATTAAACATACAATTATTAGAATGTTAAATGAAGATGAAATCAATTAGCGTGTGTAAATTACATACAAGTAAGTCCATCAGCTGCCTGTTGCAGGTGTTCAGGCTTGTGAAAAGGCCATTGAAGGTCAACACTGAAAGTAAAAACTGTTGTTTATTTAATAATTATTTCTAAATAATTTGGTCCCAATGATTTCAAGACATTAACAAGCATCCAACATGTCATCACTAGTTCCTCAGCTTAATTTCTTTTCATAAATGTCCCCTTTTCATTTTACTTCAAACTAAAAACAATGTAGACAAATGTGTAATCTCGACCTTAAAATTTGCCCACATAAAATGTATAAAACTAAATAAATAAAAACAGTGTGTGTAATAAACAACATTACCTTTGATAATGGTTGGAATAGAGGCCGCTGACCCGTCAAAACCTATCGTCTCACGTCGTATTTCAGTTGTGGGTTCAATTAACCAGGATATAGTGGCATATTTTAGTTCCAGTCAATGCCCCGTTGAAAAGCACTTAATGGAATGTAAATTGTTCCTTTGCGCATTTAAAGTTGTTCTGGTAAATAAAGATTTAAACGCTATTCAATTGTCCTCTTAAGTGCCGTTGCTGTTAAAGCTAATTGGGCATCAGATTTTTTTTCTTCCACACCCTATAAAAGTGGGGTACCAAAACGGAAGACGAACTTTCCACTTCTAGGTAGTAACTTAAATGTGGTAAAGTTAAAACTAACTGGTAACTAACTCAATGTCTTTGGGGCAACTTTTGTCTTTAGTTTCACAGGCCCTATACACTTTACAATGCGTCCATATTACAACAACCTAATACTTTAATTACACGAACACTGTAAAGTGGGACCCTATATATATATATATATATATATATATATATATATATATATACACACACACATACATACATACTATTTTAAATATTATATGTATAAATTATTTATTTGAAACAGACTTCTACAAACATGCTTTAAGTGAATTCACTGTTGTCTATTTTATTGTCTATTGCGGAAAATTGTAGTTTCAAAACCCCCGGCATTCTTGGTATAAAATAATGCCCTTTATAAAATAAAAGCCCTTGGACGTTCCGGATCTATAGTAAATTTAGCTCTATGAGGAATTGCTATGCTATGCAAATAACAAAAGCAAGTGCAATTTAAATGAGCCATTATGCACAGCGCGCATGTAGAAGTTGGGGGGTTGTGTTTCAGAGTCTGGGAATACTCGTTCACTACATCAATCAATAAATTCAAATTACTATTCCAAATTCATCACAGTCACAAAAATCAATGCCGTGGCACTGCTTGGCTAATGTGAAAATGCCCCTGTCTGTGGGATCATTTGGTATTGTTCTTCTGGGGCGCTGAAGCGTTTTTTTTTTTTTTTTGACAGTGGGCATAGTTCGTGCTATATAAAAAACAAACAACAAAAATATTTACAAATATTTAATAGGCTACAAACGACAAATACAAGCAGCATATATTAATTAGGCATAGATCGCACGTACATCTGACAGATAAGTGCAAACCTCAAATAGGCTACGCAATGCGCAATGTTTAAAGATTTCATTAACAATGAAAACAATTCGTCTCAGCATTTGTGCCGTATTCCACACTCAATCTCAATGTATTTGGCCCAATCAATACAGCGATCAATAAAGATAGCCAGTACATCTATCAATTATACCGGCTCAGCACTCTCTCCCATTGGACTCTGGATTTACCTTCTATTTCGTTAGGAGGAAGGATGTAGATTTCACTGTGTATCTTATGCGGTCTAAGGAAATTATAATAGCCTACAATATTAAAGTCTATCAAAGCGATGCATCACTACAGGAAAATAAATGTCTCCTTTACAGGTCTATATTTAAACCAAATGTAGCCTAATTTAAGGCCTATAAATTTATTGCATTGCAACCCTTTGAGAATTATACCCACCACCTTGCCCATTCGATTTTTTTTAAACCACTTGACAATCTCTGTTAAACTATAAGAATTGCTCTCTCGCATGAAACTGGGCGCAATCAATCAATTTTAGGATTGGTACAAGTTATATAAACACACACACTTTAACAATTTTTAAGTGGAGTGTTTACTTTTCACTCAACATCATCATCATCACCATCCTCCTCATCAAAATGACTTCCAGTCTCGCCTCCAGTTCCCAGCCCACGAGGATGGACGCGATTGATTTAGGATTAGCGAATCGAGGCATTTTCAGGGGAGACGGGTTTTGGCAGGCCAAGAAAATGATCGATGCTGACCTTAATAATTGATAGAGCCAGAAGTGAAAAATGAAGATTCGGTCACCTGTTTGGTAAACAAGTGCATGGAATTGGAATCTGTTTTTTAATATTATTATTTAAAGGTGTTCGAAAAGAATCTTAAAATCCATGACCACGCCTCCACACACGGTTGTCTGTTAAAACGGTCTTGGCATCATAAGGGTCTATAGCTATAACAAGCAGTGAATATATCGATTTCAGTTGCTAGTTTTGCTATTTCAGCTTAAGTTGAACTGAATGGGAGAAAATTAACTTTCGTCTCCTCCCCCCTTGGCCTACTGTATCATTCTAATTTTAAAGCTGTTATGGTTTCTCAATTGTGCAGATAATTTAATAACTTTCAGGGGGTTAAATTTCTCACATCTAATGCCCTGTTGAGGTACCCAATTTGTTTTTTAATGCGAGCTAAACGTTTTTAATGATATGTAAATCTAAAAGTGTGAATAGTAAATCTAAAAAACAAAATGATAATGACACTAGCCCTACTACTATTAACATACATCACTGCTTTAGTGATATAGTCCGATAGGCCCATTGATCCAAGCGAAATGCGCCCGAGAAGCGAACTGTTGTCATGGTAACCACGTACGCGAACTGTCCTTTAATTTAGGGTATTCCACCTTATTTTAAGCTATAACTTTTGTGGTTACGCTGCTGAAACATTTATTTAATACGAAGGCTACTTATATGAAATAATATAGCCTAGCTATAGCTATCAGTTTTTTTGTATTATTTCCAAACAACGTGAAAATCCGCAAAGCTTTTGCTAGAGACGTTGGTCTTATTGCAGCTATTCTTGATATGTCCACATATGACAGATATTTACTCCGCTTTACATCGTGATATTACGTATATACGTATTCGTAATATACGTATTTGCAACCTTTTTCCCATTCTGTAAAGGCCATTGTGGCAGACAACATATCTTGTGTAGGCCAATGAGTTCTTAACCAGCTCCTTACTCCTGTTCTGTATAATAGCTGAGGACAGAGTAACAGATGTACGCGCCACCATAAGATGTAACATTGTTGCTTTTATAATAGGTGCAGTAGGCTACTGTCTCCGCGAGCTTAGATTTTCATGATCAATCTCTGTGCTCGCCCGCCAAAATGGATCGATAGGAGAGAGTGACCTTTAAATCAAATTGCTAAGAGACCGTGCCGCCTAGGAGGAGAGCATCAAAGGGTTAAATTGCATTGCGTCACCACTAAATTTTACCAAGGGGGGGGGATTTAGTAATTTTATCATAGCTAATATTACAGAACAACGCCTCCAAATAGTTTGAGTCACGGCACAAAGCACTTGGGCATGTAGAAAATATACTTCAGTTTCTGCCTTATTTGAAGCATACTGACCTGAAAGCTATAATTCTGCCATATGCACAATGTACTTTACCTACAGTCCCTGTTTTTTTTTCTTCTTCTTCGCATCAATCCAAAGAGCATGTGCAAAACTTGGCCGTGCAATATAATTTAAATGGAGTGATAAAATTGTACATTAACAATTTGCAATAATGCATGCTAATTGCTAATGGCAAATATAGGCTGTATAAGAATAAAATTCCAATGGGCATTTAATGCTTAGATTATTATATATATATATATATATATATATATATATATATACTTATACTGTATGTACATTTTACAATGGATGCACAGTCCTCCATTGACAAAACAAATATAAACATTAAAAAAAAACTAGCCAATGTGGTCAGATTCAAAACCACATGTATACTCTCTTGAGGCTGAGAGACTGGCTGGTTTCTGACACATCTTGAGGCATCAAGGGCCATTTAACAGAGCAGTGACTCTATTGGTGTGCTGTTACATCATTTACAACCCACAGCCTGCAAAAATAGTCAATCAAACCATCTTGTAAAAGCTGTGAAATCCAGAGCCCAACAATGTTTAGTGGCCCAACACCATTGAGAGTTTTAGTTTGTCAACATTTTGAAATCTTTGGTCTAGCAGATAAAGACATAATAATGATCCTTTAGATACAGGAAAAAAGACCATCTTCTTAGAATACCCTTCAATAGCATGCTGCTTTAGAGATTAAAAGATTAATGTTCTTGATGTTACATTGGTTTCCCAGATCAGATCGACAGTACAAAGAAAAAAGCTAGAAAATGTTATTCTAGCATCAGGCTATAAACCTCTTTTTGGTTTTGACTGAAATCTTATCTTAAAGAGAGTGCAGTTGTACGTGTTCAATAGCATCTTGAGCCCACACAAGAAATAAAACCTATTGATTAATCCTGTGGTATTTTCAGAGGTTTTAAACGTTCTTTCAAGACTTGAGCAGGGTGTTTGGCCCCTCAACCATTCAGACATCTTAAACTCACTTCACTGTA